TTAATTTTTTTTTTTTTTTTTTTTATTAATCACTTTTATTTTTATTATTATTATTATTATTTACATCATTATATTTTTGTTCGGATTAACATAAATCGTAATTTAAAATATCATAATATCCTTATTCGTATATAATAGTCTTTTTTTATTGTTTTAAACATTTCCTATAACTCTAATGCTTGTTCTTAATTTATCAAGCAGTTTATTTTTTTTTAATTTTTGGTTTATTCTACTTATTCGTCTTATAAACTTTGATAACAATTGAGATTTTTATTTAAAGAAAATGATTTATTTTAAAAGCTGCAATTAATATCGCTTTTTTAACTATTAATTTCATTTTACGATTATTAATTTTACTCTTTTATATCTTCTTAAGACAATTATTAATTTAATTTTTATTACTAAGTTTTTATTAACTTGCTATTTTCTTATCTCTTATCTTAATTATTGGTACTTTTGTCTTTGTTAAAATATATTTTATTAAATTAACAAAATGAACTTTTTAAATTTTTGGATTGATTTTTAGTCATGCTTTTAGGAGTTTATAATTTAGAATTATTTGTTGAATTAGCAATACTTTTTAAATTGCTTTATATTTTATTAATATTTTGAGTTTCTACTAATTTTGCTTAGCTAGCTTTTTTCAATTATTTATTTATACTTTACAGCATAATATTCATGTCTAATAAATCAAGTTTTTTTTTAGTTTCTTCATTTTGCATAATTTTTTAATTATTTAATTTTTTATCGTTGAATTAATAAATATATTATCGAATTTCAATTATTTCTTTGTTAAAAATCCTGTTTACTTACAATAACAACTTTTTCTTCTAACATTTATTTTTCTTTTATTTTGCTAGTTTAGTGATTATTTTTCACATAATATACTATCATATTCTTTTCCTAATCATATAAATTATTTTTTAATCTTTCTATTGGACTATTTTATCCTTCATTATTTTTATTATTTATTTAGAAATATATATAAATTACTGTAGCATGATTTGTTAGTAATTATTGCATTTTAATTTAAGTAATAAATGCTACTTTAAATATGTTATAACTTATGTTCTCTATTTTATATTTTTTTTGATAATTTATCTTCAATAAGGTTTTCATTATAATAAATATTATCGATATTGCTTTGTTGGTGAATTTCTTGTTTTTTTTCAGAATATCCAATTTCTTTTGTATATTGGGCTTTAAAATTATATAAGTGCTTTTTATTTTAATTATCTGTCATATTATAAATATAATAAAAAATAAATTATAATTTTCACCTTTATATTAATAATTAATTTATATATACAAAAATATATAATAATAATTTATATAATTATATAATTTGGTGTTAACTTTGAAATCTAAATTTATAATTTTGACTTGAAAAATGGTTAATATATGTTTTATATATAATTCGCCTTATTAATAACATCTAAAAAAATAAAAATAAAAAATTAAAATTTAATTTTTTTATTTTTTCTTTTGTAAAAATTATAGCATTAAATAATATTTTTCAACAAGAAAAAAGTTTCTAAACATGTTAAATATATTTGCATATTTTTTTTTTTCGCATGTATTTTATTTTATCTGAGTTGATAGATTTTTGTAAATTTTTTTTAAAAATTTAACTAAGATTTTCGCATTCTAGATTAAGTTAATAAAATAAATTATAGAAAATGTAATTGAAAAAATAATATATAAAAATTTAGAAAAATAATATTAATGGGTATCTTAAAAAGAAGATGCTTATATAATAGAATACAGTTAATTAAATATATTAATTTATTTAGATTATTTAATTACTGAATAAGTTAAAAGAATTAATAATTTTTATAATTTTACTCATATTAATTATACTTTAATTATTTATTTAAAAATTAAAAATAATCTATAATTATAATTTTTATTAGATATATTAATTTTATTTAAAAATAAAAAAATGAATTATATTAATTATAAAACATAATAAAATAATATAAGTATAATTTGTAAAAATAATTATTTTACTTATAAATTCATTATTATTAACTAATAAATACATATAGTTAATATTTTCTTAGAGGAACATAAATATTATTTTTATATTAAGATATAATTACTTATATATTAAATCTATTTTAATTTTAAAATATAATTAATTACTATTTTGTAAAGTTAGATGTATTTTATTTAAATTTTTTAAAAAAATAAAAATTAAAGAAATTTTTAAAAAATTATTAAAAAAGTAATTTTTTTTTAAAAAAAAATATATGATGAATTTTTTAATCTATAACATTTTTATAAATAATTTAATAAAACAAAATGGGTATTATTAATAATAAAAATTTATATTACAATTCAAATACTAATTCGTAAACATAATCTTAAGCTTCATCATAAGATTAATAAATTTTTAGTTAAGAAGATACTTTTAAAAAATATTCTACTAAATAAACAATAAATAGTTTTACTATATATATTGAGTGAAATATATTACATTTTATATATTTATAAAATATATTATATAAATTAAAAAGTAAAAATTCAATCGAAAAACTTGATGCATTTTAATTTATTTAATATGATTATTAATTTTAATAATTAATTTCTCTTTAAATAATTGTTAAAACATAAAATACAGGAAACGAGGGATTAATTATTATTTCAAAAGCAATTAAAAATTTAAATAATTTAAAACATTTAGAAATATCAGTACCGTAATTATTTTTAAAAAATAGCAATTACGATTTTATAATTATAATAGAGCAAATAATATTGGATATGATGGAGCTAACATTTTAGGAAAATCTTTGCAAAATATGAAGGAGCTATAAAGTTTAAATATTGATTTATCATGGAATTATTTAGGATATAATTAAAATCTTTAAATTTTACCTTTTTAAAGAAATTTATTAATTTTGATAATTAATTTAAGATGGAATAGTATTGGAGATTAAGGTTTAACTTGTATTTCTGATAGTATTATAAAGATGAGAAATTTATAATATTTAGATATTGATCTATTGTAAAAAATAAATATATCATTTTTTTTAATAGTCTTTTTACAAAAGCAATAATTAAATCTAAAATAATGGATATTCAGCTTTAGCTAGATCTATTGGATATATAAAAAATTTAGTTAAGTTAAATATCAATTTAGGAAAAAATATTATAAAGGATAATGGAGTAATTAATTTTAATAAAGAAATATAAAAACAAAAAAATCTAGTGGAGCTTGCCTTAATTTTAGATGAAAACTAAATTGGATATAATACAAATTTACATTTTTATAATTCATTAAATTATTTAACAAAATTAAAAAATTTGATTCTGAAATTTGAGTAAATAAAAAAATATCTAAAATTTATATTACATTTTTTATTAATATTGTAGTTAAAATAAATTATCAAATATTGGACTAATTGATATTTCTAATTCTATATAAAATTTAATTTAGCTTGAAAAATTAACTATAAATTTAGGGTATTTTTTTTTTTAATTTAATATATTTTTAATATTAAAGCGCTAACAATGTTGAAAAATAAGGATTTTTTTAATTTACGAATTGTTTAAAGAACTTGATTAATTTAATTTATTTAGATTTAGACCTTGGGTATTATTAAATTTTAATTAATTTACTTTAAATAAAATTAACTTTTAAGAAGCAATTAATTAAACTCATAAACATTTGCTAATCTTATAAGTTAATTATAATACATAAAGAAAATAAAATAGTTAAATCTTAATTTTAAATGGAATGGATTAGAAGATAATGAGATTATTTGTTTAGGAGATTAATTAAAGAAACTTTCTTTTATACAAAATCTTTAACTTTATTTAAAGTTATAAATATATTTTTAAAAAATATAATAAAAAATAAATTATTAAAATAGTAATAATAATATAGGGTAGTAAGGTGGTATGTATTTAGGTAGTAAAATTAGCTGCTTGAAAAAGCTATCTTAATTAACAATTTTATTTGAAGGAAATATATCAAATAATAAGTGGATAGCAAAAACGCTTTAAAATCATAAGAATTTAATTAAATTAAAAATAAATAAAAACAAATAATACAATTAATAAATATATTTTTTTAAAAAATTAAAAAACTTACTAATTTTAGATATTATTGATTGATGTAATAATAATTAATAAAAATAATTTATTATAAATTTATATTTTATAATTAAAAAAAAAATGACTTTTAATTACTTAAAAATTAAATAATTTTAAATACTTACTTATTATAAATTTTAAATTAGAATTAAAAATAATTTTTGTTTAATTTAAATAAAAAAAAATTAGTTATATAATTAATTTTGTATTTTTTTTTTAAATATTAAAAAATATGAAAAAATATTTAATAATTAAATTTATATATTTACATAAATATATTTGAAATGGGTATTTATAGTTTATAAATATATTTGGATAAAATAAATACATAAATAAATTTGGTATGGGCATATATAGGTTATAAATATATTTGGAATGGGTATTTGGCGTTGGGGTTGGGGTTGGGGTTGGGGTTGGGGTTGGGGTTGGGGTTGGGGTTGGGGTTGGGGTTGGGGTTGGGGTTGGGT